ATATTTGATTTTTATGAGTTAATTTAGACGTTATGCACGTTTTTATAGAGTTAATTCCTTGCTTTGACAATTTAAATGTGCTGCATTATTTTGCTCATTGCGCCCTCCTGTGGCCTCGGGAGACAAGATAAAAGTTTCCTATTTAATCTGCATATAAAACATTAGAAATTACATATGTTTAATTTTTATTTTGTGTTTGATTGTTAAAACAAAAATATTTGTTGTTTGTCTCAAATTGTGTTAATTTAAAAATACAGTGGTTAAATAAAAAATAAAAAATTCTATTGCTTTTTGTTTTAAAAAAGGTTATAAAAAATGTCAATAATTATCGATACCGAACTTTATGAAACATATCTTTGATACATTTTTTAGCTATATCGCCCAGAACCTAATACATATATATATATATATATAATTTTATTTATTTTATCATTTAGTATTATTATTTTATTTATTATAATCTCATAATTGTAAATATTTAATTTATAATACAAAATTTATATTGTATATAATGTTTCTGAGAAAAGTTAAAGAGAACATTTGTGTTGAGAATATAGTGATCATCTCTAATTAATTTCTAATTGGAAATATTGCTAGGTTATATGCCGTCTTATTTCTCAGTGAATTATGACCTTTCCTCCCCTCGAAGACACACTGAAAAAACCACAAAGCACTTTTCTACAATTAAAAAGGTAGACACAGACCTTGTCATTGTGGGAAATTAGTGTTTTGAATGTTTAAGTCAGAGAATGTTGAACAGAGGTTGTAATACTTTAGACAGCAAAACACTTCAGAGAAACCTCTGTTCTACCCGATTCACAACATGCCAATATCTACTGTAGTACAAACGTATGCCTTTTTCCTTCAGGCGTCCTTGTTTGACTGGCCACTAAAAAACATCAGCAAAACACTGCTATCCTAAATACATTTTCACTTTGACAGCTGCCATCTGTCATCTTTATCTAAGCAGTGTGTTGGGTATAATCCACACAGTTTGACATGTAGGACATTCAAGATGTTCATGGTTGTATAGTAAAGCCAGACGGATGGCTTTACCAAATCTAAGAAATATTAGTTTCCTCTTTTTAATCATAAGGAATTTTTACTCTAACTAGGTTTCCATCTACAATTTGAACTCAAGCTGACAATAATTACGGTGACCTTTAAGAGGGTTCAACCGTAATTTTACGAAGCTACGAGAATACTTTGTGCGCAAAAGAAAAAAAAAACAACGACTTTATTCGACAATTCGTCTCCTCCGCGTCACCCTGTAGCGCCATTTTGGAGAGTATCCGCTGGACGTAAACAACGTATGCTGTTCTGTGTCAGCTGCGTCACGCCGGATCTGTTTCCTACGTTGTTGTGATTTGATCTGAACGAAAACAGCGTATCCGTGTGACGCAGCTGACACAGAACAGCACACGTTGTTTACGTCCAGCGGAACGTAAAATGCAGCGGAAATGCATTTTTCTCAGTATTTTGATTTTCAAATAGATGCATCTCGGCCAAATATTGTCCTATCCTAACAAACCATACATCAATGGAAAGCTTTCAGATCATGTATAAATCTCAATAGAAATCTAAAAAAAAAAAATTTAAAAAAAAAACTTTATGACTGGTTTTGTGGTCCAGGGTCACATATTCCATCTTTTCTAGATATGAATAGAAAATTTTTATGTAAAAATGCATCGGTAGCCTATATAACAATAGTAATACATTTTATTTAAATAAATACGTAGATGTAACACATTTTTGTTTGCATTTACAGTGTGTTGCCAATGCAAAAATTAGCATTCACGACTTAGATATTTACATACTAATTTTTTATGAGTTGGGAATGCTAGTTGAGTTAACACTTTTTTCTTTGGCAACACTCCACTTTAAACAAAAAAACAATGTGTATATAAAGTTTACATATTTAAGAAATGTATTTAAATTAAAATGTTATAATAGTTATTATTATTATTATTATTATTATTACTACTACTACTATATATTTACTATATATTTTGTATTATTATTATATAAATATCTAAAAATACATAAACTATATATGCACATACACATGTTTTTGTTTGTATTTAAAGTGGAGTGAATGTTTCCAAAGCATTAACCAAAAATAATTAAAGTATTAACCAGGTCCAGCATGACAGGTTTTACTCAGCACAGTATTGCAAAACATCAACATCAGCTAAACAAAGAATTTCAAAGAATCTTCTCATTCCAGTGAAAACTACCACCAACACCTCACAACCAGAATGACCCGAGGCTCTCTGAAAACCAGGTTTGAACTGTGTTTATATACACAAGGCAATTCACTTTTAACAAAGTAGCAGGTGAGTGTTGACAACGACCTGTTTTTCCTCCACTGAGCTGCTATTCACACCCAAGGAACACAGTGACTTATCACACCAAACCTTTTGCATGCATGGAGGTTCCCCTTAAGAACGTCATAAATGATACTTGTTAGACATGACAGCGAATGGCAGCATGGTTTATAAAAACACCCCATTCATTGCAGATAAATGGGGAAACACCTTCCCTCCAAAGACTTTTAAGCACTTATTGGAAGTGAGAAACCCAATTTAAATTGATTGAGAACCCTTATCAGTAAGACGAGGACAAAAATGAACCTTGATATGGTCTGTAGGGCAATATTTTTCGTTGGGATAAACTAGTCATCAATGTTTGATGAGTTAATTTGCAGTGCACAAATGTTGGTAGCCTGCCACCGGTTTTATAGGCCAATTTGTGCATCCCATCCATTCCACAGGGAGCTATTAGAGAAAACGAAACTATCTTACTGAAAACATTTTCCAGCACACTTCCTAAAGCAGCTCACATCGTCCATAATTACAATAGAGCACTGCTTTATTAAACCCATAATCCCAGACAGCCAACGAAACCGACGTGAACCTAAACAATGCATTTCAATGATGTCTTTGAGCTACATCAAGGATGCAACAGTTGCTCGTATCCGGAAAACAAACCCACGAAGCCCGTGTGTGTACGTACCGGTGGACTTCCATTTTCGAAGAAAAAGCGCATCTTTCATTCAGTGTGAAGCCGGACACCTTGCATTGCGCTGCAGACTGGAGCTGCATGGCTTGCCCCCGCTCCAACGCTGTGGATTCGATCCCGATCACACTCGCCTATTCATCGCATTCCCCCTATTCTGAATGCATCGGTGATTCATTTAGAGACGGGCTCAAGTCAGCGGTGCTTCTCCATGCTGCTCGCGTACACAATCCCGCTTTTCACAGTGCTGGACGGTAACCTGGCAACAGGCATTTGAGCGCTCACAGTTGTTAAAGGAGATCACGTTTGAGAAGATGAAATTGCTACGCTGTGTTAATACTGCTCAACTGAGCAGGCTTTTTCCCGCCCTGCCTCTATCTCTTTCTCTCTCTCTCTCTCCCTCGCTCTGGTCTTTCCTACCCCCACCCTCCTCTCTTTATTCTGTGCTGCTCCGTTTCAATAGTGATTTATCTTTGCTGGCTAAGCTTTGTTTTGAAGCAGCATGTGCATGCAGGCATCTGTGCAGAATGAGGTAAACATTATTTCAAATGCATGATATACAGAACACTAAATATTTAATGATTGAGAGGTAGCCTTGAGGTAATCGAAAAAGAGAAAACTCTTATTTTTGGCCTTGTGTGACCTCTCAATTAAAGCAAGTTACAATGTTGACTTATATTTGATCAGCTAACATTATTTTTAAACTGCCTAGGGCTGGATAATATGGCTGAAAAAAAATCATATAATTTAATATCGATACTAATCACAATATTTCACACCAGGAAATGAATTCCACATTGTTAGACATCAAGAATAACTTAAAGGGGTCATATGATGTTGCTAACGAAGGCCAAACAAATTAGTTTCGCTTTCACAACGAAACACAGCATCACAGAGCAGGCTAGAGTGAGCGGAGGTCGGAGGCCTAGAGTACTCCAAAGAGAAAGGAAAAATTGAAATCGCATCATATGACCCCTTTAATAAACTCCACGAAGCAATTTTTAATTTAAGACATCATGAAATCAGTTTTATTTGTTTCTGAATTTCCGTTTTTTCCATTTTATTTATTTATTTATTTTTACTTTAAATGTATTATTATTATGAGATTTAAACTTCACTATACAATAGTAATACAGTTCTATCAATTTTAAAGGGATAGTTTACCCAAAAATGAAAATTCTGTCATTAATTACTCACCCTCATGTCGTTCCAAACCCGTAAGACCTTAAGGACATCGTTAAATTAGTCCACATGACGTCAGTGGTTCAAGCGTAATTTTACAAAGCTACAAGGATACTTTTTGTGCGCAAATAAAACAAAAATAACAACTTTCTTCACTTTATATATTGCTATCTATGCAAGGTGAGAAAGCTCTCAGATTTCATTAAAAAATTGTGTTCCAAAGATGAAAAAGTTCTTATGGGTTTGGAACAACATGAGTAATTAATGATTACTGATAAATCAGTATAGATTACTATTAATGATAAATCAGAATTTTCATTTATGGGCGAGCTATCCCTTTAAGTTAAACCAAACCTTTTTGTCGTCAAGATATTCGAGTTTGACAACAGTTTTTAGCAGACTTTTCAATGACTTGTGCAATCTAGATGTAGACCAAATATAAAAAATTACTCAAGTTTATCATCAATCATTTATTTTTTTCAATAAATATTGATTTATCACCCAGTACTAGCTCTGCCATTACAGTAGTTGACCTAAAAGAGGAAACTGAAATATAGTATGAAATATAGCGCACCTCATCTCATACCTTTTAAGACAACACACAAAACAGAGCTAGAAACATCTGCATTCACATACTTGCGTAGATCCTGTTTTTGGGCCTTAGACACTCAGTAGAGAACAACAGTATTGTTACTATAAAGTACCATGGTATCAAACATTTACAGTGGTACAATATCATCTCTTTAAATTGAAACAATTTTGTAAGGTTGAGAACCTTCAAAAACTAGGGAATGGCTGATTACAGAACCGGCATTACTATCAAAATGCGCATGACAATCGCTTTCTATTAATCGTGCAGCCCTAATTTGACCAGAACATTGAATTCAGCTTCGTCTAAACTGCTCGAGGCCATAAAATGAGCAATCAATCTACACAAAATTGTTGTGTGCTAACCCACTCTCAAATGGGAAAAGCTCAACACTAGACTTATAACAGCACCACTGAGCTGAACAGAGCAATGAAGTCAAATCAATTAAATGATTAACGCATTTTAACGCATGATCCCTGAACAGTAAAATAAAACTGGGGGAACATGTGACAGATGCACTCTGGGATCATGTGGTTTGGTGTATGGCACAGATCCTGTGGTTTGCGATTGTCTGGCCTGTCTCCACAGGAACAGATGGGTGTGAGTGACAGGTCAGGTGTGGAATAAGGGCCTGCGCAGATGCCTGATCATAATGCATGGTCACACTCCAAGCGTACAGCCAGTAAACTCTGCAATTAATCACTCAGGCGCTGACGAGGACCGTGCCGGTCAAGGACCCACCCAAATCAACCATCACTGACAGGGACGAGCTGACTGCAAGAGTAATCGATATGGCTTTGGTGTTTCTCAGTAGGGCTGTCAAGATATCACACTTTTATAAAACAATACCAAATGCAATACCGCAGCCAATATGCTAATATATAATACTAAAATAAATCAATAAAAAAATTATTGAATTATTTAATCATATTATTATTATTATTTTATAATTATTGTTATTTTTTATTACTACTATTAAGTATTACCACTATTTTTATTAATCAGTATTATTATGAATATTATTATTAGAAAATGGTACATTATTATATTCTACAATATTTGCAGTGGTGTTGAAATAAAATGTTAATAGATCAAATAAATGACAAAAAAAATCTAGTCCTAAAAAGGACTAAAATAGGGGTGTTTTCATAGTCGAATCGGAATTTTCGAAACTTGCTGATAGTCGACTGATAGTCGAATCATATGTTTGGGGGCGGGGGGCAAAATAGGCTACATTACCAAGAGTCAAGTCAGACATTCGACAGTCATAACTACTGACGTTAACACACAAGGAAAATGTGGAACGGACGCCTCGCAGATACAAACGGGGTAAATAATGTTTTATGTTTTGATTAAAAGATAGTTAACATTAAATGTCAGCGAAACCCTAAGAATTCACAACATTTTTTTACAATAGTGCTCTCATTATAATGTTATGTATATGACAGTAGTTATTAATGTTCTGCATTTCTGTTTTAAGCTGCGCACGCTGAAGATGACCAGTAGAGTGACACATTTGATAGCAGGTTTTTAATCAATGGGATTTAACCCATGATTTATCTCATATAGAATATGCTTCGTTATTTATACAACATAACGTTAATATTACGACTTATAGGCTATCTGCACAAAATGCCCCGAATGCACGAACGTGTCTGCGCGGCTCTGAATGAACTCCTTTTGTGGACGCGTTCTTCACGCAACAACGTGCAGAAACATGGCAACTAAACTCTAAAAATTCACAGCATTTTATTATAATAGTGTTCTCATTATAATGTTATGTGTATGACAGTCCCAGTCATAGTACTACAACGAAGCGCTTGCAGCATAACTCAACCAAATGCTTCTTATACGAGATAATATATACACGATATATATAAACCGGCTGAAATGTTTTGAAATCACTTGTACCTACTTGATCGAAAAAATCCAGTCTTTCACTCTGCCTGTGTCAATTTGTGTCTTGTTAAAGTTTTAAATCCCTGCCACCAAGATGCTCCTCTGTCGGTCACGGATTATGGAAAGTGAAACTTAAATCTATAGGGGTGGTTGGATTTATTCACGCACGTTAAAATATTTATTTGAAGCTTCATTCTTTTCAGATTCTTATTTACATCATTATCATAATAGACTGTATATTTACTTATTGGGAGAAAACCGGTAGTTCTATGTGAAATTAGACATTGAGCACCCCCATATAGCCAAAATGGCATGATCATAACACCTCAGCGAATATTCGACTGTGAGATTGGTAGTCGAACCAGGCTCCTCCTATCGAAGCATCGAATCGTCGACTATTCGGGGTCACCCCTAGACTAAAATGCCTACTGCTCAAGCTCAACTACATATATAGTCTACTAAGAATACAAAAAACTGCTGCATACTGCATCAACACCATTAAACCACAGGTTTAATGGTGAACACAGGTTTTGCTGAAAGCAGAAAATGTTCACTCTCATTTTCCATGTCATTGATGGAACCTCAACTATTTTCAAACCTCTAAATGTTACTGCACTCGAGCAAACGTGCAAGTCAAGCACAGTCACAGCAGGCTCTCACGTTTAGAGATCAGCGCAATTACGCAGGAATCAATTAGCTACTACGGCTCTGAGAGCAGTAGGCCAACACGCTTTGCAAATTTACAGATCTTCTTTATGCACCAAGAGCTTGTAACACTCCAAAGAGAAAGGAAAAAATGAAATTGCATCATATGACCCCTTTAAACAGCAAACGTAGACCTTTGGAGTCTCACGTAGACTGCAGTTGGCGTGCAACATCCCAGACTTGTCAGGCACTGAGAGAGCCACCTGAAAGCACCAGGTTCCCGTGAGTGGGTGGTGCAGTCGGGTCAGGCTGAGAGTGTGAAACCTTAAGCCCGGCATCGGAAGAACACATGGTGCATGGGAGGATGCATGCAACACCTCTGCTTATAAACCACATGTCCACAGGAGGCCTGGCACCACCGTTTCAAGCTTTATACCTCTGCAGGCGGTGGCAAAACAGCCATAGAACCAGTCTGGGCTTGTCCCTTTCTGAAAAACACTATATGACACTATATGAGCGTCCTCCTTTCTCCATAGAAAGTCATTGTGGTTAATCAGATAAGAGTACAGAAGGTTTGCACTTTCTAGAACTTCATTACTTCGATATGGACACTTAATAATGTCCAAAATAATGTGTTAGTTTTATCTAAAAATGTGAGCGCTATTGATTTATTTAGGATGTAAATATATGCTAAGGCAAGGACTAGATTCAATGACTTTACTATATTATAATGCAACAATATGACCATGAGATACTATTACTGTGCCTATGGACTGAGTAAAAGTT